TTAACATAAATATCCTTTATGTAATCCCATTTAATAAACCAATATCTTTGTTACTGACCATCTGAGAATCCAATTCAACCATACTAATAAGCAAAAATGACTTTAGATAAACATAACATTTGTTTCATTTTTTTTTTTTATTATGGCTGAATGAACTTTCTTCTCCTACGTCTTATTCTTCATGCAATCCAGAATGGCAGCACAGCTGAAAGGTTTGTTTTAAATAAAAAGTAACCAAGTAATGTAATTAGTTACTTTTTTAGGGAGTAACGCAATATTGTAATGCATTACATTTGAAAGTACCTTTTTCCAACACTACATATGTTGAGAGCCTCTTACCAAGACAGGTTCCACTGCTGAGCCAGAACGGAACTCCAAGCACAGAGAGGACTTTGGAAGCAAGATGAAGCAGACTTTTAGCCCTCATCCTAAAATCCATAGCCTCTGTAGAGGTGTCTTCTGGATACAGCTGCACAAAATTATTTTGACTCTGAGCCCAATATATATTCAATGCTTAAACCAGATAAAACAGTTCAATTAAGAGATTTAAACACCTACACATCTTGCTTTTATTTCCCATCAATCAACAGTACCTGGTAAAAGGCCTTGGCTTCTCTGCAGTGACACTCCAGAAAGCGACTGCTGGAATGCTCATGGAGGAAACGAGAGTAGTTTTTGGGGATTCTTACGTCAAGGCCATCAAGAGTGGTTAGAATGAGCTCTGGCCTGAAAAAAAGTCATGAAATTAAACAATGTATGTCAAATCTTAATTTCTTTCCATTTGTAAAATATTTTAGTGGAAACTGGAGAAATGTAGCATTGCATCACTTGCTCACCAATGGATCCTCTGCAGTGAATGGGTGCCGTCAGGATGAGAGTCCAAACAGCTGATAAAAACATCACAATAATCCACAAGTAATCCACACCACTCCAGTTCATCGAGTAATGTGTTTGTAAAACAAATCCATCAAGGCGTTTAAACTTTAAACGGTCACTTCTGGCCACAATAGGCTTTCTCTAGTGAAAAGTCCATCCCCTGTTGTCCTCTCACATCAAAATCCAGCCACATATTTGTTTAGAGCTGTTTTGGCTTGTAAACGGTGCTTGATCTGTGCATATTTCTCTCCTGATTCAGATGGAGTGACTTGAGAACACAATATTATAGACAAAGGACTCTTAGCAACGGTTTGAAGATAAAATTGTCTTGATGAATTTGTTTCTTACACGCATCCTTTGGCTTCACAAGATGTTAATTGATGGACTGGAGTCGTGTGGATTACTTGTGGATTATTGTAATATTTTACTTCACTTGACATTTCTGTGTACATGCAATAATCATGGCGTCACCTGTCATAGGCCCCAGCATGACGGCCAAAGTCCAGTTTTCCGAAAGGGGCGAATGTCGTGTCCATACTGCTTCTCAGCCTGAGAGGGCCGTGCCAGAGGTACTTCCCACTGCGCTCGTATAGAACGACCACATGAACCAGACGGCTGTTAAAGTGGAACAGGAAGTGCAGTGGTATTTCTTTTGCTGTCAGATCATCCATGCTGATCAGTCTGGGGTCTTTCCCATGAATCTCCAGCAGCTCCAGACCTCGCTCCGCTGCTGCATCCAATAAAGCGGCCTGCATAAATATAGGGAAGTATTATTCTTGTGTTAAACTATTGTTAGAATGAATAATGTGTGCGTGGGAGAAAAAGGTGAGGATCTAAGTCATATCTTCCTTAAATGCTTAAAAGATGCCATTTTTTGCTGCTTCCACAATAATTCTATTGAATTCCTCACATCATATTTCCAGAGGTTTCCGAGAAGTGCAAAGGTGGTGAAGTCCCTGTGTGTGCAGAGGAAACTGCAGTGGGGTTCTTTCAGCTGACTGTCCCTGTAGAGAACTGCATCCTGGGACAGGAGGTTCAGAGATGCTGTGTCTACCAGAAACACAGGCAATTTAAACTTATGGACCAGCCCCAGGAACTTCTTCAGCAAATGCTAGATTAAAAAAAAATAAAAAACAAAAAAAAAAATTAGAAAAAGAAACTTTTGACTGGTAGTGTAGGCTTAAAAAAAAAAAAAAAAAACGAGATAAAATATTAGCAAATGACAGTCTCACATATCCGAGACTAAAACATTCTGTTGCCTTATTGACTGTAATGTTTGAAATGGTTAGCTAAAAGTGTGGTGAGTTTTCTGGCTTCAGAAGGCAGGAGTGAAGTAAACAGTCAACATAGTAATGAAGTTGAGAGTGCATTTTATACGGTAACAGGCAAATATGATTAGGCTAGGCAGATTTTAGTCAGACTAAGATAAAAAAAAGAACTGACACAGGGTGGAGAAAAACATTTACATCCCAGATAGAGAATGTGACAGGTGTGTTATAAGGGCTCTATGGCATATAAGAAAAGGTTCGATGCAGGTCGCTTGCTGTACTCACTTTATGAGGGACTTTTCTGGTTATATCATTTTTACTCTACTGTTCATTCCGTTTAGACTGCTGGGTCGGACATATTTATATTCTTACTTCAGACTATATATTTGACTGAGATACCATGATTGCTTGTGAAGAATGGTGTGTATTCGGAATTGTTTATTGAATTTGTCTTGTTCTTTCATGTGTTTTATGTTTATTGTTGATTATAAAGTGCTTTGAGCTTTGGAAAAGCGCTATAAAAATAACTCTTCTTATTATTATTATTATAAGGATGAAGTAGGTTGTTGTATCCCTCTTCTCTCTCTCGCTGGTGAGCAGCAGCTACAACATTAACCTTAACCACACAGATTTAGAGCTGTAGACTAAACTTTTTATCATTAACATCAAAATTTCACTCACCCAATGTGCCTCTTTTCCGGACAGATATTTTACTACTCAATGCGTTAAGTCCATTCTGCAGTGACAGAAATAATGTCACTATATGCAAGACATCAATCAACAAAATTAGGTGCACCAGCCTTTAATTTATGATGACTTTGATTCATTTTATTAATACATTAAGCACACGCTGTGACTGTGTGCGTGTGTATATAGTATTATAAGTGTTTATTAAATACAGTAATCAACGGAATACAGTAAAGGAAACTGCCATTAAGAATAATGGGAATATTCGTCACGAAAAAACTTAACAATGAAAATTATTGAAATATATAACGTTATATATATACGTTAGCCTATTAGTCTATATAATCTTTGACCAAAATTATCAATGTATTTTAGGACAGTAAAGTAAAATGTTTGAGGTTATGTAGTGGTATTGTCTTGTCACCTTTGATGAATACTGTCTGTAGTTGAAGAGCTGGATGAGGAGGAATATGGTGCTCGCAGCGATGAGGAGAGTCAACACAAATGTCCTGTTTATTCTAGCCATTAGTCCTGCTTCTGACATCTGACACACCCAGGAGAATCATATCTGTGTTCATACAGACACAGCTGAGAGCAGAGGAATGAGAAAAACAAAAATAGACACCGGGTGACAAATCTGCATAACGTGATATCAGAATATATAATATTATTTTAGCAAATAACTAGATTCTGCATTCACAGAATTCAAAGTAAAACATGCAGCCAATAATTAATAGCTTCTTATAAACTTACCAGGAGCAGGAAAACGCGGAATATCTGCTTTATCACAATAATTTATACAGTTCTTTATTCTGCCTGTGTTTTTGCCTCACACTGCGACCGTGCGCCAGGAGGGACATCTCTAAAACGCGTTGCGAAAATCTTAATAGCCTGGAGGCCAGCGGTGAACTTTCAAGGTTTGTTAAAAAAAAGACCGTTTTTAATGGATGTCAGCAGAGGGGAGACTTAATTAAATGAGAACTTCTGTGTTAATGTTTAGTGTGTTTGTCATTAAATACTTCTTTTTCAGTAAGCAACATTAGGAGTTTACAACGAAATAAAAAACACGGGAAATTTTGCGACAAGTAGTGTCCGTTTACGGAACTTCTCATTCATTTCTATGGTATCCGCAAACAGTTATTGACAGTCGTAAAGCGCCGAAAGATATTCAAATAATGTTATTGGTTTATGAGGCACATGTGAGCCGCGGAGGTTGGTATCTTCTTACATAGTAAGAGCTCTGGCGTTTCTTCCTAGGGATAAATACATCTTCTTTAGATTTTTTTAGCGATTCACTATTAACTTGTCACATACTGAATTGTCCAAGATTTATTTTGTTTATTCGTTTTTCCGTTAAATTATTTATCCCGTCTCATCTGTAGTGAAAAAAAAACCCTTCAAATCTGACTCTAGATCTATCAAGGGTCAGATTCACTACTGTCCTTTTTATGGCATGAAAATCTATATTTATTTTCAAAGGTTTACATCCCTGAAAGCGTTCATTACATACGGTGACGCATTGATGCCACACACATTTTTTTTTCACTCAGTTATGTCCCAATAACGACATCTTTTCTCGTAATAACGAGATGTTTTCTCGTTAAAACGACATCTTTTCTCGTAATAACGAGATGTTTTCTCGTTAAAACGACATCTTTTCTCGTAATAACGAGATGTTTTCTCGTTAAAACGACATCTTTTCTCGTAATAACGAGATGTTTTCTCGTTAAAACGACATCTTTTCTCGTAAAACATCTCGTTATTACGAGAAAAGATGTCGTTATTACGAGAAAACATCTCGTTATTACGAGAAAAGATGTCGTTTTAACGACAAAAGATGTCGTTAAAACTAGAAAAGATGTCGTTTTAACGACAAAAGATGTCGTTAAAACGAGAAAAGATGTCGTTTTAACGAGAAAACATCTCGTTATTACGAGAAAAGATGTCGTTAAAACGAGAAAAGATGTCGTTTTAACGAGAAAACATCTCGTTATTACGAGAAAAGATGTCGTTAAAACGAGAAAAGATGTCGTTAAAACGACATAACATCTCGTTATTACGACATAATTGAGTGGAAAAAATAATATGTGTGTGGCAGCAATGCTTCACCGTAATTACAAACTGGCACATTCATAGTTAATTTGTAACAGTTAAGGGTGTCATATATATTTTTGTTAATTCATTTGCCTCCACTTTAATGCTGTTTGGGGATTACAACACCAGATGGTGCCAGAGGCAGAACAAGTCAACATCGAGTCAAACAGAAGTCTTTGGGTGAGCTTTAATGTTTGGATTTAAGCTCATTAAGGATTGTTACATAGAAACAGACTGAGGTTTGATTATTAGTTTCTGCACAAATGCATGACAAACTCTTAATTTATTCAAAAAAATTAGACCTAAAATGACTTAAAAGGAGGATGACACATTTATACAACAAAAATGTACAGTCTACATCCAAAATTATCCAGATATAATAACAGTTTATGACAATGAGGGGACATTGAGAGCAGCTTTTATCATTTTTACACTTGTGCAAAGTTTTCCTGTTTCAAAATCAACAGCTGAAGGATGCTCTACAGAGTTCAATATCAGTAAGAGTACAGTTAATGTAAAAAAGAAAATACCATAGAAAGGATTTAACACACATTACAAGGAACGAAAGTAAAACAATATGAGAATCAACTAGTGAAGGACAAACAACTCAAAAAAGCATGTCATCATTCAAACTAAAATCAGTAAAGAAAGTGCACTCAACTATTCCCTGATAAAGCGACTAGCTTTCCTTATGCAAACATCTCCTGATGAAAGCAAGTGTCTGTCAAAGAGAACGAGGCCTCTCTTTATAGGAACATGAAGGGAAACGACTCTCCAAATTCTGCCAGTCAAAGCTGCGGCGATGATCTCTTTCAGTCTACATGCCTCGGTCATCGGAAGCGTGTCCAGTTTTCAGAATGGTTTCCTGATTAGTTTTTCAGGTGTTTTGAGAAATCGGGTCACGGCATTAGGGAGCTGTCTACTGAAGGCAGTTTATCGTAGAAGCAGATATCACAGGCTACTGAGGGATCCTGCGGAGATATACTGCTGTTCGATCCTCCCAGCCCATTTTCTGTCTTTTGTAAGCTTCTTACTGCACTGGGTATCTGCAGGCCTGTAGACAGAGTCAGACCGCCACACCACACCTGAAATACAAACACAGGCATTCAGGACACTCAGCCAGTCTTCGTTTAGCAGACCCTTTTAAAGAGATAGTTCACCCGAAAATGAAAATGTGCTGAAAATCTAATCACTCTCAGGCCATCCAAGATGTAGGTGAGTTTTGTTTCTTCATCAGAAATGTAGCATTCCATCACTTTCTCACCAATGGATCCTCTGCAGTGAATGGGTGCCGTCAGAATGAGAGCCCAAACAGCTGATAAATACATCACAATAATCCACACGACTCCAGTCCATCAATTAACATCTTGTGAAGCCAAAAGCTGCGTGTTTGTAATAAAGGAATCCATCATTAAGGCATTTTAACTAAAATACGAGTACATAATACATGTACAAATGTAAAACATGTACATAATACAAATAATCCATAATAATGCTCTCTCCAGTGAAAAAGTTAATCCCCTGTTGTCCTCTCACATCAAAATACAGCTACATGTTTGATGCTTGATCTGTTCATATTTCTCTCCTGATTCAGATGGGACGACTTTTTAGCTGGAGGAAGCATTATCATGGATTATGGACTCATATTTTAGCTGAAAGCAATGGTTTAAAGTTAAAAACACCTTGATGGACTTATTACAAACACACAGCTTTTCACAAGACGTTGAATTATGTACTGGAGTGGTGTGGATTATTGTGATGTTTTTTATCAGCTCTCATTCTGACGGCATCCATTCACTGCAGAGGATCCACTGGTACTACATTTCTCCAAATCTGTTCCCAGGTAGAAACAAACTCATCTACACCTTGGATGGCCTGAGGAAGAGTACATTTTCAGCAAAATTCCATTTTTGGGTGAACTATTCCTTTAATATAATTTATAATTTATAAAACACCCCATATAGAGTTAAAACATATCACTTATATACTGCATAAAATTGGACATATGTTTATATCCAACTTAATATAACAAGCTGTCAGATTTTGTGATGAAATTTTTTAAAAATCAAGCATTTGAGATCTGCTATATAGCATATTTTATTTTAACACTGTAACACTGGCTGATGTTGATATATTTTGTCAGGCAGAACTTGCGTTTCGAGACAAATGTGTGATCAGTTTCACTGAAGTCTATGGGGAGTGTTTTACATTTGCATGTATTTATTTAGCAGATGCTTTTATCCAAAGCAAGTCACCAATGTGAAATATTACAAGCAATTTCTCATAAGAGACAACAATGCACAATGCCAAGTTTACAGTATAAACTAGATTATTAGACAAGCAAAACCAGACGGGAAATGTGGAAAATAAGAAAAAGTTATTTCTTTTTAAATTAAATACATTTTATAATTAAATAAAATATTCTTGAAATTTAAGTGCATTTCTTTTTTCATATTCACTTATAATACTAAAAACATAATGCTTATTTCTGGTTAACAGCATGAAAAATGAACTTCAACAACAACTGAACAACTGAAGGATTAAGGTTTCTGAAGTGCAGTCCGTGTGTTTTACTTTCTTTACATATTTTGTCACTTCTTTATTTATAACTTTTAATCATTTATTCATTTATGTCATTTAATGAAGTGATCCTGTTGAGTGAGTGATTTAATTAATCATTCATAAAGACAGTCACTACTGGTGTAACAAATGCCTCTTGAATTAGGAGCCACAACCACATTTAAATGTAAGAGTGAAGCCCTTAAATTATGGTTCAGTTTGTTCAGGTATTTAGTGCTGTGAAGAAGACTCTTTAATCTTTTGACAAAGAAACATTAGCAACAATCAAACACCAAAGATGTATTATGTCTGGCAATTACCAAAGTACAACACTACCAGTACTATAGTCATAAAGCAGCTGCAGTAATGCTTTATTTTACTCTACGGTTTCTTTGTTATACATGTTAAATGTACTTAAAGTAAATTATGCATAATTAACTAACTCTAAACCAAACCCTAATCCTATAGTAATAATGACGTCATTACTTAAAGTGCCCCTATTATGGGTAATGAAAGGTTCATATTTTGGTTTTGGGAGTCCCCAACAACAGGTTGACATGCACGCAAGGTCAAAAAACACTTTAATTGTCTTATAATATGCATTTATTTTTACCTTACTTGCTCAACGACTCCCAAACGATTCACTCAACGATTCATTTTTCCAAACTCCTCCTTTGCGTGACACTAATCTGCGGTGATTGGTCAATTGGTCTCATTTTAATTTAATCTTGCCTGTAATGCCCTGATAAAGCAGTGTTTGTGAGCGTGCTGCTTTGTGTACAGCGTTACCGGGGAAACCGCTATTTTTTTTACCACTCCAAAAGCGGCACCTAGCGGCAAAAAATGATTTTGCATTTTCATTCAAACCAATGCGAAAAGTGAAAAAGTGGGCGGGCAATATGCTAATGCTTCATGTTGACGTCAACATGAAACGCTTGGGATTCGTTTTAAAAACAACCGGTTTCAATGATTCAGAGTCCACTCTTTCTTTTGAGAGACAATAACTTTATACACGGTGCACGCACTTTCAGACTTTCAAACTTTGCAGGATGTTTTCATTCACTTAGAGCTGTGTTACACACTGCATGAAAGGTAATTTTCAAAAATCCATAATAGGGGCACTTTAATTGTATAATTACACTGTAACAAGGACATGATCTGTCAATGCAAAGTGCATAATTTTCAGTGCATCATTTTTTTTAAATCATTAGCTTTGAGAAGAAGTGGTGTTAATACTTCAGCACATGACTATTACAAGCTTATACTATTACAAACCTATTATTTGTAAACAATCAACACTCACTTTCAGTGTTTTTCATTTTTTTCCCGTTGCCTGATTCTATTACATCATCATCTTTTTTTATACATGAAAAACGGGGCATGGTTTGCATTAGAATAACCTATATTTGCATGTGTAAATAAAATGTTTGTACTCTAACTCACCATGAAAGCTGGCACAACAGGTTGGGTGAACCTCACTTTAAAAGTATGAAGCAATTGTTTGTTTTCAGCATTATAGAAGGAAAGTTGGCCTGGAAAAAAACAAAAAATGAAGCTATTAATAAATAGCAGCAGTCACATTTACTTGCTGCAGTTATTCTGGTAGTGCACGAACCAGCTCACAAGCAAAGCATGAATGGAAATGGTGGAAACTCAATCTGTAGGTATCTGATTGCACATGTGAGAAACCCGAGGGTGGGCTATAATGTTCCCTATAGACTACGGCAGTCGGACAAAATGGAGCATGACATGAACATACAACACTTAAGCTACCCATAATAACACAGAAGACATGGATAACAGAAACAAGGAATCAGGTGTGAGCTACAAAAAATGCATATACACTGTTTGACCCTGTAAATCCTGACATATGAAAAAATAGGCAGATTTGTTTTGTGAAACAAATGTGAAGTTACTCTTATGTTTACTTTCTAAAAAAAGATTTCACAGCAAAAAGGTGGACATTTTTACGATTATACTAAAAGGCCTTTTACTTGCCAAAAATTACAAACTTTCAATCAGACGTGGCTTTATTGGATTAATCAAACAATAATTTAAAAAGTGCTATATGTCATTTTAGATCAGATTTTGTTCATTACCCCGATCAAAGTCACAGTAGACCCCAATGCTGTCTGGTACGGGGACGTCCAGATTCTTTGCCTTGTTGTTGTGTTTGGCTGCAAATGAGTTCTGCAGCCAGTTGTTGACATGGATACACCAGGTGGTGTTGGTCTTCCCCAACTGGTCAAATTTCCCAAGGTTTCTGTAGGCCAAACCAACACTGTAGGACTTACAGTCTTTCTGAGGCTTCACTTCCCAGTAATGCTGGCCAGACTCTATACTGGTGTCACCTAAACATGCATACAAACACGAGTTTAATTTAAACAGTTTTCAAATTATTATAATGTCAATAAAGTGACGTTATTCCAGCAACCACTGTTGTGTGGATGTGTAGTATTTGTTGGTTAGAAGTAAAGTCGCATTCAGATAGTGCTTTATACAATACAGATTGCTTTAGAGCAGCTTCACCATAAATAACAGTGTTAATGTTCATTAATTACCATTAATTATCAAATAAATTCAACTCGGCTTGTAAAGCAGCTCTATAGAAGACAAGAGTTTCATTATTCAGCTCCATTCAGTTCATTGTTGTTTCAAAACTCTCAAAATTGCAAAATGTCCATTAATGATGAAACAACTTCAATTTCAACTACACGGCAGCTCTACTGAAGACAATAATGTCATAATTCAGCTCAGTCATTAAAAGCTGAATAATGACACCATTGTCTTCTGTAGAGCTGCTTATATCTGAATTAATCTCATTTCATAATTTGATGAACGAATCTGAATCGACCATGAATTTACTTTAGTGGAATAATGGCACACTTGTCTTTTTAGAGCTGCTTTAGAGCTCAAATTGTATTTGTTTCATCACTAAAGAACTTCGCAAAATTCTTGCTTATTTGTGACACAGTTTTGAAACAATCTTTATTGTTTAAAGTGCTATATTAAAATATGGCTTGACTTGACAATTTAGAGTCAATGTTGATTCAATTGAATTCAATAACAGTGTCAGTGTTGCAAAGTTAATACATTATGAAACAAATTTGATTCAGCCTGTAAAGCAGCTCTACAGAAAGACAATTCAGCTCAAATTAGTTCAATGTTGTTTCAAAACAGTATCACTCATAAATTATGAAACATCTTCAATTTCATCTACAAAGCAGCTCTACAGAGTACAATAGTGTCATTGTTCAACTAAAATCCATTCAGGTTTTGTTCGCATCTGTTTTCAGTACCATCAAATTAATGGTATTACTGAATATCAATTGCCTTTTAAACCCCAGCTTTTAAGAGACAGGGATAGTTTTCCCAAAATTGTTGAAGAGAAGCATCAGTTTCCTTCAAAAACAAAGACACTTCTTCCAAAATGATTCCAGTCTTTTGGATAGCATAGACACTTTAGGATTTCTAAGGCTGTTTTGGTACCCAGTACTGTGTAGGACTCTCCAGTGAAGCGATCCCTGGCTCCTCTCGGGGCGGGTGAGCGCGTCACTGATGTTCTTTTAGGAGATGGAGTTCCACTTCTGAAACCATCAGAGAGACACCGACAGTCACTACACACACACACACTTGGGTTCAGGACAGAGATCAATCATCAGAACATGCGCAAACACAAACTCCAAGTCCCACAACACACAAAGAGCAAGAGGAAGAGAGTCAGTGTCAGTTAGTTATCAAACACAGCATGTCCCTATTTGTGATGCCTACTACAGCCAATGGTGGTGCAAAAAGAACTATGATCAAGAAATTAATGGAAAAAGCAGTACATAACATGTTAGCCACAGCAGCACAAATGATGCAATGCTACTCAATACATTTATTGCAACAAAAAAAACAAAAAACACCAAAACAACTCCTATATATCTTAATAAACTAATGGGTGTGCAAACTTCGGATGGCTAGTATAGATCATTTAGGCAAGAAAACTACTGGCAACTGATTGTGTATTCAACAAAGTGCACAAATAAGTGTTTTATTATTTAACCCAAAATGATTCTGAATAAGGGATGATTGAACCCTTTGTGCAGGGCTCATGATCTCCCCTCCTCCATTAGCCATATGTAAGATCCCACATATTAGCATATGAACAGCTGGCCGGTGAAGGACGACCCACACATTGTAAACAATGTAGCATTATCACAAGGTTCTTGGCATACCAGATGGTTTAGTTACAATGCATGACCGGTGTAATTACATGCAAAATTGATGTTGTTCAGTGCACTTTGTTTGCCGTAATGGAATGACTGATGAGAAAAGCATTAGAGCGGTGATTTCAGACGAAAGCTTACTCACCACAGTCATAAGGATGTGAGCATGGAAAAGCAACTTTGTATTTAGAATTACGTTTGATTAAATGTTGCAAAACTAATATTTAGGTCATCATTTGATAACATTTCAACACAGTAAGAAGTAGCCAAGTTGTAAAGAGAGCGGTGATAGCAAAGATGTCAAGTACAGGTTGAGTTTTTGGTCAGAATCATTGTCAGAACTAGTGATTCTATATAATACAATTCTATTTATATTCTATTGAATCTACTTTCAGTAACACTCACAGCCAGCACATGCGAAACCCATAAGAGCACTCAGTTTAGAAACACAGAAAAACCCCCTCAGAAGAAGACATTTCATAAATAAGGATCACAAGTATGATAGTGAATTTAGAATAAAATTGAAGATGCATTTCTTTAAAATGATAAATAAGACATATTTTGTAAGCTTGGAACTAATATATGAAATTCCTGAAAGATCAAATGTAGATTAGAGTTATCCAGTGATCTGTAATCCTTTTTCATGAAACGCTTTGCTCAGATCTGTCTTTGTGAACACAATGCCCGTAGAGGAGCTGGTCTAAAGGGCTCTAAGTAAGCCAGCAGTAGCGCTTGGTTTATTGCTGTCAGAAAGAGCTAAAGACCACTGCTAAGAGACACACAGTCACCTTGACATATTCTTCAGATTGGTGAAATGTGCACTGCTGATTGGTAGAAAAGGAAAAACAAGAGCAGGGAGTTATTAGGGAGGCACTGATGTTAAAAAAACTACTTATTTTTATGCTATTGCCAATTCTACACTACTTTGTTGAAATAATCTAAAACACTGTAAACTAAAATCAGTCATTTTAAATGCTAAAACTGAATTTGGACATTACAATATTAAAATGTAGAGTATGAAACTTTTATTTTAGACTAATTTTAAATAGAAAAAAAGAAATAAGAAACTGCTCAATAAAGTCATTATTTTGTTTTCTTTGAACACAAAAAGTATTCTTGAAGCTTCATAACATTATGGTTGAACAACTGATGTCACATGGACTATTTGAACAATGTCCTTACTACCTTTTTGGGCCTTGAACGTGTCAGTTGGGTCAGAAAGCTCTTGGATTTCATCAAAAATATTTTAATTTGTGTTCCAAAGATGAATGAAGGTCTTACGGGTTTGGAACGACATGAAGGTGAGTAATTAATGATAGAATTTGGGTGAACTATCCCTTTAACAATAACAGCACTGTATTACGTTACATTCCAGATAGGGCCTTACACTAACTGATGTGTTGAATAAAGGGTTAGTTCACCCAAAAATGAAAATTCTGTCGTTAATTACTCACCCTCATGTCGTTTCAAACCCGTAAGACCTTCGTTCATCTTCAGAACACAAATGAAGATATTTTGGATGGAATCTGAGAGCTGTCTGACCCTGCATAGACAGCAACGCATCTGAAATGTTCCCAAGTCCAGAAACGTAGCAAGGAGATCTGTAAAATAATCCATGTGACATCAGGGGTTCAACCGTAATTTTACGAAGCTACGAGAATACTTTTTGTCAGCTGACACAGTACAGCATACGCTGTTTACGTCCAGCTGATATTCTCCAAAATGGCACCAGGGTGATGCGGAGGAGACGAATTGTTGAATAAAGTCAGTTTTTTGTTTTTTTTTTGCACACAAAAAGTATTCTCATAGCTTCGTATAATTGCGGATGAACCACTGATGTCACATGGATTATTTTACAGATCTCCTTGCTACGTTTCTGGACTTGGGAACATTTCAGTTGCGTTGCTGTCTATGCAGGGTCAGACAGCTCTCAGATTCCATCAAAAATATCTTAATTTGTGTTCCGAAGATGAACGAAGGTCTTACGGGTTTGAAACGACATGAGGGTGAGTAATTAATGACATAATTTTCATTTTTGGGTGAACTAACCCTTTAATAAATTACTAACAGCCAAAGTACTAGCAGCCAAACCTGAAAACCTCTCAACACACACCAGGATTCAGTGTGATGAAGCAGAAATTTTAAAACTATATTAAAATCTCATCTGAGAGTACAAGAACATGTATGTTTCATCTCATTCATGGCTGACTCAATGGAAGAAAGATGCAGTATCTTAAATTTCTTACCTGCCCTTGTTCTCCTTCCCTTTGACTTTGCTGTCTACTCCTTTTCCTCCCTGAGGATCCCATTCCACGCTCCTGTCCTCCACCTTCAGATTCAGATGAGATGACGTGGAGTCAAAGCCGAAGTTAAACGCTAACACAGAGAGGCACGACCATCAATATCACAGAAATACTAACAGGACAGTACAATAACATATGTTTTTACTAATAAAACTACTGTTTAAAAGTTTGGGGTTGGTAAGGTTGTGAAACACTATTAAAATTGAAAATAACTCTTCTATTGTAATGTATGTTAAAATGTTTTTTTTTTTCTGTGATCAAAGCTGAATTTTCAGCATCATTACTCCAGTCTTCAGAGTCACTTCAGAAATCATTCTAATATGCTGATTTAATGCTTAAGAAACAATTCTGATTATTGTCATGTTGAAGACCGTTTTGCTTTGTTTTTTGTAGAAACTGTTATAAATATTTTTTGAAGGATTCTCCAATGAATGTAAAGTTGAAAAGAACAGCATTTATTTGAAACCGAAATCTTTTGTAACATAATAAATATCATTACTTTCACTTTTGATCAACTTAATTCATCCTTGATGTATAAAAGTATTCAATTCTATTAAAAATCTTTCTGACCCCAAACATTCAAACATATGCTTTAATACCTCTAGTTTCCAAAGTGACCGGATCCGAATAATCCCCCGCGGCTGCTTTGTTACATGCTCTTACCCGGAAGTTCATGAACTTGGTGTCAAATCTTAACCCTGTCAAATGAAGAGAGCAATCAGTTTTCCTAATGCATAAAAGTGGGAAATGTAAAATATTTTGAGCAGAACATTGCTGTCAGCACCTTGTAGGGTGTATTCACTGGTCTTGATGTTGTCCACCACTTCCCAGCACTGCTCGTCCTTCACACGCGGCAGACCCTCGTGGTTGGTTTTTCTGTACTCTAAGATGTAATGGTCAATCTTGCTGTCCTCCACCGGTATTCTCCAGGTTACGGTCACCTCATTATCTATGACCAGACAGTCCTCGAGCACTATCTCTGGAGCTCTTGGCACTATGTGCAGAAGATCAGAAACGGGCAAGTAGGACTTTGATTCACATATATTACCTTGAAGGAGTCATATCATACATGTTTTTGTCCACTTAGTAATATACTGTCATACATGTTTATGTCTTTGAGGTCCACTTAGGTTGTTTGTACCTGTAAGTTGTAAATTTTTTGCACCCAAACAGTCAGCTTTTAGTGTTTTATGACATATTTTCACCATTTAATAGGCAGTGTTTTATGCAGTGCTCAAAGTGTTGTTGCAATTTTTATGTGTGAAAGCAAAAACAGCATTTTTCTACATTTACTTGTGCACTGCAAGTTTACAGGCATTACAGGTAGGTAACATCTTATCGTCATTTATTCTGGTTTTCAACAACAGCATGTATTCTCCTTGCTCCTTATTACAACAAAGTGACTCGACAAATACGGGCAGTCATGTGCTTAAATGCATGTTACAGCTTCATTTAATTAAATTGTCTTTTTGAAAAAGGGAGGAAGGTCTGAGATCTAAATGCTACAATAAGCTGTTTTAGAATATTTACAGACAGGAATGGGCAGAGATATATTTTTATAACTCAACAGCAAATTACTTAATGTACCCTTGATGTCCAAAAGTCTTCGATGCTTAACGAAAACATTAGTTTTAAGAAGGTTATTTCGTTTTTTCTTTTGCTTGAAATTAAATCTGTTTTATTTTTCCATTTATTTTTTTATTCAATTTGAATGGTTTAATTACATTTTAATAACCAAAAAGCATGTCTAATCAATTGAATTCATAAAACAGTACCTATTTATTAACAATAATAGGGCCCTGAGAAATGTTTTGCAATGTTTTGGTTTCTCAACATCACAGCTCTGCATATATAATCAATTCTTGATGAACACATTTCAATTATTATTTGAATTATCTCATTAAGTCATTTAACCATGTATTAATATGTTTTTGGAAGGCATATGTCTTTTAAACAAATTAAAATGCCAACTGATGCCATATGACACATGTAATAATTGACTCAGCCAAACCTTTTAGACATATTTACTTGAAGTAACCCCTTTAAAAATAGTCAATTTTCCAATTCAAATCAATGTGATAAACTAAAGTAATCAAAAAGTAGTCTGATTATATAGAGATTATATACTCAGACACAGAGCATAGAGAGTACAGATATAGAGAGTAAAAATATACTCTGAAATCATGTCATGCATATGAGATTGTCTCGTATCCTAAATATCCTGTTAAAGATCCCTGTCCAAAGATAACATCCAGTCAAAAATAACACCACTCTTCTCTTCTTCTAATGCAGCTACACTATACAGTAACTCTGGTCCTCTCTCCATGCTCCTCAGGTTGGCTAGGGACAGATTTGAGTTTTATGTTTCTAAATTAACTCTGCTCAACCTATCCGGCTGCACAAAAATACAAAAAACATGTTGTCAGGTCACTAAGTATCAGAGCAAAATACAAGGAGCCAGAGGTGCCAGTACCGTTTTATTAAAAAATATCCCATTTTATCTGTTAAAATGGTTTTGTGCATTTTTATCTAAACTAATCATATCTTGAGTTTTGACATTTCAGAGATGAGCTCTCTATACAGACTCAATCTCCAAATGACTTTTAATATTAACATGAAAAAATATCTGTGCAAATGTTAAGCTAGCACAGTCTTGGAAGATTACCTCAGTGTCAGCAAATTAATATTCATGAATTTTGTCTTCTAATGGTGTCATATGACAAAGAAGCAGAGAGATACTTAAAAACAGAGAATTAGAATATAGTCTAGATCAGGGGTTGTCAGACTTAGGCACATCAGTGATTAGACAGAGAGAGAATAGTTATAACTTGATTTGAAATGTTGATATCTGAAACACTTAGTCTACTATATCCTCTTCCTATGCTGGGATGATAGAGCTGAGAGGGGTCTAATTTTTCAGTGCTATTTTTAAAAATTTGTATATGTCTGGATTTGGTGCATTTGTAGACCCCAAAGCCAGAGTGACTCACAAAAGTGCAGAGAATGATTACACACACGTGAACAGCAGATGAAACAAGCAGTCACTCCATGCAATGAACCACAAATCAGTAGAGCTCATCATAACACATGCAAATATAAGGTAGAATACTGAATCATTTGATAGAGCCATTCTAAAACTAACGCTGAAAATTACAAAACTAATGCTTATTATAGTCCTCTGCCATGAATGCATTTTAATTAAAGTCCCCCTGTAGTCAAATATTTTATCCCTTAAAACTTATCTTTGATCATCAAAATTACATATTTAAATGTTTTTTCTTGTGAAAATAATTTCCTCATTCCTTGAAATAGCTTGAATGCAACTCTACACCCTTGCCACATTTACTACACGCTGATCTATGAATATGCAATTAGTCCCGCCTCCACTCAGTCACACCAGCCAGCACCTCCTGAATGGTGTTGATTAATAGATTGGCACATGGTTTGTCTAAAGGCATATTAAAAACACCATATAGACAAATAAACAACATAAAAAATTTGATTTTCACTACAGGGGGACTTTAAAGGAAAAATGAAATTATGAAAATGTATTCACCCTCAGGCTATCCAAGATGTAGACAAGTTTGTTTCTTCATGAGAACAGATTTGGAGAAAATGTACTTGATGATTCCATCACTTGCTCACCAATGGATCCTCTGCAGTGAATGGGTGCCTTTAGAATGAGAGTCCAAAAAGATGATAAAAACATCACAATAATCCACACCACTCCAGTCCATCAGTTTATGTCTTGTGAAATGAAAAACTGCATGTTTGTAATAAACAAATTCACCTTTAAGACGTTTTAATGAAGGATTTGTTTCTTACAAACACTGCGCTTTTCACTTCACTAGATGTTAATAGATGGACTTGAGTCGTGTGGATTACTTGTGGATTATTGTGATGTTTTTATCAGCTGTTTGGACTCTCATTTTGACGGCAAACTCATATGTGACCTGCGCTGGCAAAATGAGTCGGAACGCGCAGAGGCTAATTTTAAGCTACAGACAAAAAAAGTGAAAAATTTCGATTTTGCTTGAATTTCAGGTTTTCACAAAAATGCCTTCATTAACCCCTCGTCTAGCAATCCCAATGCTCCAAATAGTAATCAAACATCTAAAATTATCTTTATTTGTACAATTTCTAAGAGGAGTACCTTTTTCTCTGCTGCTCTCTTCTTGCGCTGCAAGAATTTTCATTTTTGGGTGAACTATTCCTTTAATTCCCTTTAACTCTTTAATAAGGCAAACTAAGTTTTGTACTGAGTACCTGTGAAAAGTGACAGGGTTTACTTATTTAGCTGGCATGAAACAAAAGATTGGAGGTAACTTAACAGGTTTTTAAAGTAGGCATGCCAACACATCAGTCACATGTAATATCTGAGTGTTACATTTATACTTTTAATATGTAAAATGGCATATTTTAGATGTTTCAGTAAATATAACAATAACATCCCATTGCATAGACATGTATGAATAATTTCATCACAATTTAGAATGGTGTAATAAGCCTCACCACTTCCAACAATCAGGCTATATTACATTCAATCCCAATGGATGTAAAGCTACAGCGGATTGCGGATAGGCTATATATACACATACATACTTTTTTCATCTTGAAGGAGAGTCTCTGGTTACAAAGCACTGAGGCTGATTACACACACACAAACAGTATACATGTGTATGGCAGAGGCGTAGATCTTATTAATGTTGCTGTATTTGATGCTATCCCTTCACTAGCAGGTAACATTAAGCTTATTGCTGTGTCTGAGCAGGGTTTCTGCAGGATTTTTAAGCGCAAATTTAAGACTTTTTAAGACCTGCACAAATAAAATGAATACCATATGAGCAGGGTAGGGCAATGTTTATAGTACCATAATAAACTGTAAAATGACTATAAAAAGCATAATTTACAGTTCATATACAAGTTTTCACACACAAAAAAAGTTTTATAAAATGGTAAACTTTACATTTCAGCCTTTAAACCATTTTTAAGAAAATAGAATAAGAAAAAAAGAGTTGAAAGTATTAATCATTATATTAATTTAAACAATTATTATCAGTAAATTATTATATAAATTAAATAACAATTAGGGGTTTGCGATATTTATATACACATTAGTTTTTAATAGATTCACATTTAATTAACAGATCATAGAAATATAGACTTCCGTTTTTTTTGCATTAGCATTACTTAGGTGAAAAATCAAGTTCCAGACAATAAGTAGGATTAGTATGTTTAGTTCTAGTTTAATTCTTGGCATTCTTTGCTTGCAGTTTTTAAATGAGCCACAGAAAATTAAATGGAAATTTGAAAAGACAACAAACCCAGCATTTTAATAAATTAAATAAATGAAGTTGCAAGTATCCTTTGTGAAAAACATCAAACGTCTACCTTTGTGAATTCCCCCTCATCTGTAATGTGCAGCGCATTATTAGCAAACTCCAAAAGTTCCTCTGCACTCTCTAATGCACTGGTGCTTTGGGTCTGCTGGTTCTGGAGAAGAGATAAAGGTTGATCATTATTAGTGATTTTGAAATGATCTGTGTTCGCTGAATATATCTGGGCTTATTTTTTCTAATTCAGAGAGTATAATCTTTTTTCTATACAAAGCTTCCACTAAAATAATTACAACTGGAATGAAAATTAATAAAAACTAGAGAGATATTTTTAAAAAGCAAGTTTTGCACCAACAAAAAATGCTCCAAAAAAGCCCAGCAGTGGTGTTCCTGAATGAATATATATTTCTGAACAAATCAGTTGAGTGAATTATTCAATGACACACTCAGTCAATTGTTGAATCCATGAATTAATCTGTGTTTTTCAACAAATCAGCTGAGTGCATGATATAATGACTCACCTATAAAGACCACTTACTGTATCAATGCAACTCACTGAAAAATCCTGACCACTAAGGACCTGTTAAAACCTGAATCTACTTTGGGTGATCTGATCACAAGTGAACAGCTGTAACACATTGTCAATTGCATTTGTCTCCCATGCATCTTCAGTGACCACTTGTGCCTGGATTAAAGACCCTCATATCTGCCATGCACAGAAACTGTCACTGTTGTTATTGAGCAAAATAAATTTCACGGTTGTGATACGAGTCATCCAGCTGTCGGTGAACAGAGTCAAAACAGCATATAGGTTGCTATTAAGAATTCTCAAATCCTTCAAGTAGTGCTGGGCGGTATACCGGTTCATACCGAATACCGGTGTTTATTTTTGTTATGATATGAATTTTTAAAATACCGTATGTCGCTTAAACAACGTTCGGAACGCAACACTGTTTGAAACGGGTGTGTGAGGTTTAAGTGGTCTGATCCACAGATTTTTGCTTTACATTTCACTTTTACTTGTGAATAAAAATGAGTTGAAGAGAAACATGACATAACTTATAAAAAGCTTTAACCTAAATGTCCACTGAACTGGAAGAAATCTGCTCACTACACCAGAGGTTTGTTCCCTGACAAAGCTCCCTGAACGTCCCACACTACTGCATTCTCATGAAAACTCCTATTTTAAAAAGGGAACACAATGTAAGTAACAGATTTACTGTGCAGTGTAAGCCAATTAATTGATTTAAATGGGAGTATTCGTGACAGTGCAGAACTCGGATGGAAAGTCAGTGAGCTCACATGTAAACCTACAGTAACCTGAATGACAGCTTCAGTAATTGTTATAATTTTGCACACTTTCTATGTATACTTTATTTAAAGGGGTCATGACATGAGAAATCAAATTTGCCTTGATCTTTTGGCATATAAGAGGTCTTTGTACCATTAAAACATCCTGCAAGTTTCATAGCTTAAAACGTCCTCCTTATTATAAAAAAAAGCATTTATTTAATTAAGCTCCAAAAATGGCTCGTTTTGGATCTGAGGTGGAAGATGACGTCACCCGGGCACAAACATTTGCATAAACACTGCCTCCAGAGCAAGGCATCGACGAATAGTCGAATAGGCATCTTCTCACTATAGGCCACGCCCACTGGCGTTCAGTCACTTAACGGTTGATACTTGATTATGTTGAATGCGAGTGTCGCGTCACCTCAAAAGCAAAAGAGAAATTACAATCACTGCCACTATCTTGTCTACACTGGATACAGTATACAGATGCGCGTTTGCTTTCTGACACAGTCCACGAGCTTGAGTCTGTCAATAGGGCAAATGGAGTGAAAGAACGTTCACTTTGAAGCATTTGGTTTAAACAGCTCGTTTGCATCTTTGTACAGATATCAGAAGGTTCCCAGCATAACGAACAAGTGGATAGTTTATTTTTAATGCCATCCAGGATCGTGTCAGAGGATTGATTGGAGCATTTTGTTTTGTAAACGAGGCACAGTGTCATGGAGAGTTCACAAAGAAACATTTGTAGAAAGATGAAGCGGTACTAGATCTGTCTGCAGCTGCATCACAAACCTTAAGTAAATGATTTCATAATGCTTTGTCTGGAAATGACAGTTTTTTTATTATCATTTTGTCAAAACACTCACATGCAATAACGAGAGGGCATTGATACTGTTTCCTATACAATGACGTTAGCCAGTCATAACATGGGCTGATTCCTGACAAGCCTTAACCCCTTAAAGGTACAATATGTAATTTTCGCCGCTAGAGGGCGCTTATTCAAAATAAACAAAGAGACAAAGGCGTAGTTTCATGATGCCGTGACGGAGTGTGGAATCATGGGAGTTGTCGTCTTCATCCCCACAGCCGAAGCAATCCGACGGGACTCGGGCAGAAATCATGTTCATGGATGAGCTAATGATTTATTAACGTAGTAGAATGAAGCAGGGTGAGGCT